GACGCGGCCGCGCCGTAACCGCAGCCGCTGGACGCGCCCGGGAGGAGCCGCGCCTTGCGCGCCTCTCCCACGCGCTGCGTGAGGCGCCTCGCGGAGCGCGGGAGACGGCGGCAGAAACGAGACACCGGCTGCGCCGGGCGCGCCCCGGGCCCTGCTGGTAACTCCCAATCCCGCACTCTAATAACGACGAACAAACGAAGCCGCTCAGTGTTAATTAAACCGTTACTGCGCTTATGTAAAAAGCGATAACTGGAGCTCTCCAGCCAAGAGCTGGCGCTTCCCAGGCATCGCGCTCAGGTGCTACAACGCCTGTGCTGCCATGCTCCCCTGCCCCTTGCAGACCATCTCTGAAACATCTGTAAAAAACTGCTCTAAAAGGCAAGTTGAACAAGTCTGCAGAAGCTGCAGGAGTAACTGTGGTTGCTCACATTTTCTGTCACTGTCTCTTGATACAGTAGCGTGTCACTGCCCAGGTGCTGCCTGTTCTGTGGAGCACCCTGTTAAAGTAAAGATGAGAAAGCTGTCACCAGTTTTTCTAGGTCTTAAAAGTCCTGTAAAGAGTTAATGCAAGAGGAAGATAGATACAGAGAGTAGATCATCCCTTCGGAAAGATTTGTCACCCGGCAAATCCATCTCTCCAGATCCATGCAGGAACAAGAGCGGAAAGGAACAGGCTCCCTGCGCAGGCTGAGCGCTGCTCTGCCATCACAATGAACGGGGTGTTTTACCACTGCGATGTGGATAACGTGGCTTGGCTTCATTTACAGGGAAGGCTCGTTCACCTGCTTGCCAAACTCCAGCATCTTATGTCTCTTCCCGACCCCCATACTCCTTAAAAACAGTAATTGGTTCAATTATTTTTTATTGTTGCATCAAAAAGAAGTTATTTGATTTACAGATGCACATAATGCCATTTTATTACACCATTTACATAGCTTTTGAACAATAAAGCTATTCTGCATAAATGTAACTTTTGGTCCACTCACCAGGTGTTATTTATAAATAGCTATTTTTTCTTTTTTTTTGTACTATTTTGTACCTTTCTCAGGTCTTTGCAACATTCGCATGCAGTTGCTGTAGCGGTAGCTTCATCAAAGGATTGTTTTAGACAACTTTTTCTTCATTAGAGCTACTGGTCTTGTCCCGCAGTGCTGCCTACAATGGCTCCTCTTCTTTCAATTTCTTATCTTTTTTTTAGAGAAGTATTCTTGATACGAAACAATAGATCCATAGAATAGAAATCTATTTTTGCACTTGTCAGTGGTTAACTGTAATTTTGTGATATCCCATTGTCCCTTCACACAAGTTACTGATGTTTCCTGTGTTTGCATTTTTTTAAAAAAATTGGATCAGAGAGAAATGGTCATATAATAATAAATTCAGTTATGAGGAATATACTATGACCAGAACATTGATACTCAAAACACAGTTTTCTTGAGCAGGTGTGTAGCTGTTTGGTTTTAGGAGAAGAAAGAAAGAAAGACCAAACTTAATAAAATGCCCAAAGCAAACATTTTAAGGAATGTATGATCATCCTGACAAATAGGTCTTGCTTTGAGATAATGATCCACAGAATCCGCTAGTGAGAATTTCTTTGGTTTATAACCAAGCTGACTTCGTGCCTTGTCTATTCGGAAAGTGTGAGTTACAGTAACGTTCCACACCTAAAATCCAAAAGAACAGTCATTGAAGTGACTATATTGTTTGGTGTCCTAAAAGTTGAATGAAAATATATCAACAGTGGTATTACAAAAGAATTTGAAATGTGAATGAAGATAAACACTCAAAAATGTGCATATGGAAGAGTCATATGCTGTCCAAGAGCTAACAGAATGAGTTTATGGAGCTTACAGATAAAGCTGTACAGGACTGGGCACAGATGGAGCTCATGGCAGTGATTTCTCACCTCTGAATAAATGTTAAAGAGCCAAGGAAACTGCATGCAACAAAGTCAGTGCAGCTCCCTTAAACTATTTACCTCACTTCTTGTCAAGAAAGGCGTAAAGCTGAAAAATGGCTTCAGGGCCAGGTGCAGATATTCTGTCATAGTGGCTGTGAAATAGAAGTTACTCAATGGGACAGCTGGATAGCAATAAACTGAGATAATACTGACCCTGAATACCCACTAATTCCTACTGACATCAGAGGATGCAATTAAGATGCTGTCAATGCTTATTTTATTGACAGAATTAATAGTATTATAAAAGTATATTTATTTGCATATATATTATACATTATATATTATGCACATAGTACAATAAATAATATAATGTTATAATGTATATAGATATGAAGTATTATGAAATTTGAAGTATTATAAAGGCAGTATTCAATTTATAGAGTACACAATGAACTCAGTGCATTAAGAGCTTTTAAACTTCATCTATCATGATGCCAGTTGATCCCAAATTGCTAAAGGTAATATTATAGTAATAATAGTAATTTTAAGTTACATAATTGCTACAGTTTGGTCCTTGAATTTTACAAAAGTACTATATACCTTTCTATATGCAAAGTATAAAATAAATAAAAAATAAATAGCACAATAATTGTGTATTTTATTATTTTTACCTGCTATATGAACAAGGAGAACAGGAATATGTATCCATGGTTTCTCGTAGCCTAATTTTTCAAACTGGAGGGGGCATAAAATGAAAGAACAGAGAATCTGTATCAAACTGAGGGATATCAAGGAAGTACAAAAATGGAAACATGAATATTGATAAAGTATATGTCTAAACTTTTTCCAGTTAATCTTCTGATCAATATTGATGGTAAGAAATGTAACTGCCAATCACTGCTTCTTATTCACATCCCACCTTTCAGATATAATCAGATGGTATATGGAAAACAGCCTATTTCCAAGTGGCAGGGAATATTGTCTACATTTAGATACGGTTCCATAGTTCTACTGCCATTCTTTCCCCAGGAGTTGTGCTGGCATTGCAGGATGAACACTCTAGCATGTTCCTAAAACCCTAGCTTGCTAATTATGAAAGTATAATGTAGTCCCTCTTTCAGGTTTAAAGATATGATTCTAAATGGCCTCTCCTTTTGTGCTACTGTTGCCAACAGAACAGAGAATTAGCCAATGGATATAAAACGGTTGCCAGATGGTAACAGAAGTTTACATGCACTGTACATTACAAACATTACTGCCTAAATAAGGCTATACATACATGCCTAATATTGAGGCTCCTGTATCTCTTGGCTAAATTCTCTGAGGAGAATAAGGGCCAAACTCCATACTCATGCATATCTGAAACTTCCTTTAAAGCCAGTGGAACTTCAGGATATGCAGGGAGAACAGGATTGATTTAAGTTTAATGTTTGCTAATTCAGTAATTAACGTGCCCTGATCTTCATTTAGCTAGCACAGTCTTTTAGTTAATTATAGGATTAAGTTACATATATTGCATTAGAGCTAAGGTGTGTGCAATACATACTAAAGGAACTATCCACTCAGAAAATGTGACGTTTTCACCATCATGTATGTAATACGCCTGACCACTCTGTCAAAGAAGCAGAGAAAAAAAAATTAGAAAAAAAATACTATGCATAGGACAGCATTTTCTCCCATACTTAACCTATTTTTGCTGATTTTGTGAACAACACAACCGTGCATATACAGTGAATATACCCAGATCTCAAAAAAGTTTTTTTCTGGGTAACCTCAGTGTAGAAGTAGAGTTGTCATGATTAACCATGCTGTAATGTAGGCCAGAGTTTGGTTTGGTTGTGTGGTAACCCAATTGTCAGAGCATTAAGTTCTTCACAAACTATGTACTTGTTCTTATACCTGTGAAACCACACCCCATTTTCAAGAATTTAGCAGCAAAAAAATCAAATTATTTCAGAGCTACGGCTAGTGGGACGGGAGGTCTATACTATATACTTACAGCTACATAGCCCTTCTCAGAAGTGAGAGCCTCGGCAGCTAGTAAGTGAGCTTGTACTAAATTTCCTATGTGAACCCAGTTCATCTGAACTTTGTGATTCCCAAACTTGAAGTTAAATAGTCTCCGCTGGATATTTACCTGTAAAAACACAAAACATGAGAGCTACATGAAGGGTGTCTCTTTTTATGCATCAGAATTTATTCATTTGGTCTCAGCCTGAATACTGAAAAATTAAGAACTTGCTATATTTGCATAGATATACAATACAAAGTGTCACAAGAGAAAAACAACTATAGTTAGTGGTTTTATAAATCAAGACCTATTGCACTTATTTATAGTGGTCAAATAGCATGACATTACAGCATATGGTTAAAATATTATTATTCTGAATCTCAAATACATATTTAATACAATTTTACATGTTTCATTAAAAAATCAGGGATGCAAATGTCCAGCATGACATTTTAGTCCTTGTTTTTTTTCTGATTTTCATTTAAAAATAGGGCTTAATCCTTTCCATTTCTGCAATGACCGTATCGTGCTATTTGTAATGTCGTGCTAGGTGATCTGTCACCAAGCTGTCACAGGACTTTTTTTATTTTGCTTCAAATAATTATTAAGATCTGTAGTCAAGATACTTCCTCCAGTGTTACGCCTTTACAACCAATTACTTGCAACGTCCTCCAGGGCTGGTTAGGTGACACATACAGCTACTCGTGGCAGATGGTGCTGCTCTTCTGGTCCGTATATGCCAGGGGGACGAAGCACACACGTATGGAGCTTGTTGCCTCCTAGCAGAGATAAGGACATGTGATTGTCACACAGTTCTGGTATCATCACACTGCAGGTAAACCACATACATTGTTTGAATTTTTATATTGTGGGAGTAAAGGAAAAAAGGAAAGTCTGATCATTCTATGTGATTCTGATACCTAGTAATTTGTTTTCATCTCCATATTAAAGTGAATTCAATAGTAGTGAAATATCCTAGTTTAGCAACCTGGAAAATGGAATCCCTCTGATCACAGGAGGTTTTCATAAGGACAGAGCCACTTGTCCTTTTCTACATGCCCCTTGCTTGATAGACTCTTGCCTTCTGTTATGTATGTAAATTAATAAAATAGATTTTTAATCCAGTATCATAGGCACATACAAGACAGGAAGCAAATCATTCAGTTATATTTAGCCACTTTGCCTCACTGCAACTCAATGGCACCACCAAGGGACGTAAAAGGGCTCCTAGAGGCTTTCAAATTAAATTATTTTAAATCAAAACTGATACTTAACATTCTAAATGCAAATTAATAAGTAGAGTTCCCACAGTGCTGGGAATAGGCACAACTGCACCTTGTATATGGGCAAGTTTAATAGGGAGCATAATTAATCAAGGATCCTCATCTACTGTGTATCTGTAACTTTTAAGTTCATAGAAGATGATAAGAATAGCAAGATATGCATGAAAAAGCAAAGATAAATGCTTCCCTTGCTGTGTACACAACTACTCATGCACATATAACTTCAGACACGGCACGACCCTGACACTGCCTATCTGTTTAGGAAGCAGCAATCATTCCTGCAAGACACCTGTATACTTCTGGGGATTATGAACTACTGTTCACTACTTAGAGAGTATTATTAGAGAATCTTAAGGTAACAGATTGAATGGGGAATGAAAGTGGAAGTCCTGTACTTTTTATAGCAAAACTGGTGAACTTTTAGAAGATTCTTTAAGAAGCAAGGGTAAATTTTCTGAATTTCCAATCTGCTGTTTGGATATGAACTCCTGTCTGCATATACATATAGAAAAATTAATTATCCATTGACAGGATGAACAAAAATCTAAAAATAATCCTCATTTAGTTCAAGATACACTATTTATTGATAAATCAGTAATCAAAGAAAGCAGTATCCACCAGCACTACTAATGATGTGAAAAAACAAATGTTTCATATGTACCTTTGAGTAAAGTTCCGTTAGCAGCAAGAACCATTTGGTCTGCAATTGCCTTCGTTCTAGAATAATGATTAAAATGCTATAAAAAAGGCAAAATATAATCAATATTTTAATGACATTATTGCACCAGTAAATGCAAACTCATTGTTTATATGTGATAACATTAAAAGCTAGCCAGCTTGCAGACTAGCTGAGTAAAACAAAACTAGAACTAATGATAAGATATGACTCATATATGGTTTGTTTATGACAAAATCCATCAGATTTATATTTTAGTTGCATAAATTTAGCTTTCCAGAAAATTGAACTCCACTAGTTTTTACTTTTATGTAAAGAAAATTATTGATTATAAAATTTATTAAGGCTCAGAACAAATTTCATGGAGAGAAATACCTGTGACACAAAAAGAATTATGTAACTTTTTGTGCTGAAAAAAATATTACGATGAAAAATCTGTTTAGTCTGATAATTTTATTTTGAAATTGTAGAAAGTTTTTTTAAAATAGTAAGTTAAATGTGAAATATAAAGTTTCTCTCCTCAAAGTATTTTCTTTTTCTATTGAAACTATTTGTGAAGATTCTAAATAGATATTCTCCAATTTATTATTTACTGTTAACTTAAAAAAAATGCACCCAGGTGCTGTTAAGCAATAGAATTATAAACACAGCTGGTATCTGCAGCTTAAGTGATTATCTGTTCACACTGTTTATTCGTGCATCTTTTGAATTTTGTATTGCCGTACTTCATACAGTCTTAAAAGAGACAGCTCCGTTACATGCCAATATTTACGCTTTGACCAAATACTCTGACTATAAAATATAGGTGAAATCACACTCTATAAAATTATTTTACTCTCAGATGGCTTAATTCTCCTGCATTGCTTTCCCCAAGCCCCACCTACCTCTCCTGCTCACTTTTGCGTGTTCACCGTCAGAGAAAATGTACAATTAACACTCAGACACATGCAGTTAATTGTAAATTCCTGAAATGCTTCTTTGGAAATCTGGGATGCCATGAAGGCTGTGCACCAACTAAATGTCTCAGAAGGCACCAATGAAGTAGTAGTCACTCTTCTTTAGGATTCCTGGATACAAATACATATTCAGTAGGATGTGCAATGCACAATTATAGCCTTTCAAGTGCAGGCTCTATGTCAGGAGCAGGAAAGAGCAAAGGACAAGAATTACCAGCACTCACCAAGCTCCGTATACTGGCTGGGAAACATTCCCTAATGATCACAGCAAAATATGAAGTGGTATTTCAGAGCAGCCTTGAGGTAACTGTAGCTAGGCACCTGGCCTGCAGCAATAAAGCAAGGCTTGGGAACTTGAAAGAAGCAAAAATGAGTGTGAGTGAAGGTGTGGATTAATATTTAACAACACTCTTGAGTGCAAAAGCTCATAGGGGCAGATAATGTTCAACTTTTATATACCTGATGGTTCTTTGGAAGACCTTACCCCCAGAATCTTCTTGCTAAATGTCAAATTCCACTTTCCTTAGTCATTTTGATGTATTTTATCATCTTAGAACTGTCTAGCTATTGCAGATGAAGGTAACTGTGACATGAGTATCTCTCTATTTATCATGGGTCATTTTTCATTTATGAAAATAATTTCCTAGAATTTGATCTGAACTGTGGTAGAATATCTTCTGTTCCCAGCACAGCCTCCACATAATGTACTCTTTAGAGCACACCAAATGCCATGCTATCATATGAACAGAGTACCTTTTCCAGTGGAAAATATGGCACGGTTTCTTCATCTCCTTCTTCAATAGGATTCCCTCCAAACACCACGTTCACTGTACTGGTATATATCAGCCTAGGGATATTTCTTTGTTTGCAGACTACAATAGTATACAAAATGAATTGTTTTAAAACAAAAAAATACTACATATCACGATCACAAAATGTTTTATGATTATGTACCTGCAACACTCATATCATCACTAAAATGTAGTCAACACATGGAGAGAGGAACTCTCCTGGGACGGAAAATAAACTTTCCTTCCTTACCTCAGAAATATTTCCTAAAACATTTTCATTTTATGACTTGAAAAAAAGTAACATCAATATGAATATTTCTTAGTTGACCAAATGCTATGCAAAACTCCCCGACTCCCTGCTTCTTTCTGTAGGGTAGCACTGTGGACAGCAGCCTGCCTGTTTTTATTTCAGCAGTGAGAAGTACTGCTTCTCATACTACAGGTTCATGGAGTCCAGTGCAGGTAGTTAAAGTCATGATAATAAATGTGTGTCAGGTTTCTCCAGTGTGTGTCAGAAAACTGTGTCACAGTGACAAATGTTGGCAGGGAATATACACTGTTTTAGGAGAGTGTATAAGCAACAGCATGGTCAATAAAAATGAAATAAGTATCATTTACAAAAAAAATCTTAAATATGGATTCCAGTCATTAAGACTGTGAAGTATTATGTCTAAATTCAGTTGCACATATGTTGCTGCACTTGAATAACATGAATTTCCTTTTGAACTAGGAAACTATACTACTCTTTGTAGGTATCTTACATCAAGGTAGTTTTCTGCAAACCTAGCTTCATATCTTATTGAGAGAATCTCTTTTAACTGTCAATTCAATACAAGAAAGATTCAGTTAGAAGGGTTTTTTTGAATGTAGAGAGAATCTCTTCACTGATTTCAGTTGGTTTGAATTAGGCGTAAAGGAAGAAAATGTAGATACATACCATCAATTATTAGTTTTGTGCCACCGACATTTGTGGATTCAATCTGCTCTTTCTTTTGAAGCTAGAAATAAATTTTGCACAATACCTAATTAATTTAACAATTCATATTCGAATACAGTTGTTGCAATTGTCAGACCCCAAACCAGATGTTAACATTTTGCTACATACATGTTACAGTTCTCTTTCTCCCCCTTTCCTATACCCTGGGAATATCACTGTTATTTAGCATAACTATACTGAGTTGCTGGTCAGTGTCTCCATGGCTGTAACGAGTTCACTATGAGAAGAAGCTTCAACATGAGTTCTGCAGTAATACTGCCACACGTCTTCAGATTAGGGAAAAAGGATAAAGCTTTCTTATGAGATCCTAAATCTATGAATTCATTTTATAGAGTATTTTGAATAGTGTATTAGTTTCATGATTTGACATTATTAACTCCTCTCTGTCTCCCTGAGTGCATGACTTGACCTTTATAACTAACTTTTATCTGAAATAAATATGATTTAATCACATTCATTGACCTCTATATGCTGGATTTTTTTGCTATTGCAAGAGCAGAGAAAACATTAAGAAAATTTTACTTGCTTGCTCTAGTCCTGACATTCCACATGCAGCCACATGAAAAACACAGTCGACTCCTTCGGACGCTTTGAACAGTGCATCATAATCCCTCACATCACCCTGTAAAAATAATTGATTTTGAATAGTAAAGCTCATTACACTCTCCATACAATTAGTATTATCTATGGCAATTAAAGAAAATCTGAAGTCATTCTGATTTATTGTTCACAATATTTAACAAGCAATAAATAAAACATTGCAAACATACAGAGCAATAACTGTGACTAAGAATTTTTGTTAGTATTTTTTAGAAAAACAAGTATGACTCTTGTTGGCCTCAATTAGAAGGCATGTTTTCACACTTAGGTCGGCAGCCTGCAGGCTGGCAAAACTTGTTTGACTTGAATGGGAGCAGCATTTGCTCGAGGGTTGGAGAATCAAGCCAAAATAACAACAAATAGTAGCAGGGAGGGGTCAGCAGGTTGCCC